TTTACTAAAACCTTTGGTAATCTTTATCAACACCAGCATTACTTTAGCGCTAAATAATTTTGTGGTTTACTTTTTAGAATGTATATTGATAAAATTTCCTAATCGTTTATTGATCTATTTTTATTATTAATAACGTACCTCTGCTGAAGCCATATCCTTAGTTAACAGCAAGTTCAATGGATTGCTAGTCAGAGTTTTTGATTCCATTGCTTCGTTAAGCTTATCAGCAGCTCGTGATAATCGGCTTATCCCATTTCTGAGACCTTCGTCTCTTGCTTTTAACGCAGCAAATTTAAGAAGCCTGGCTTTCTCAATTCTACCTAGCAATTCTTTTTCTCTTGTCTCTAAAGCAGAAGCCACTCTCCTTATGCATAGCATAACATCCGTAGTTGCTTGTCTTGCTTTTTGTTCCAAAATTTCTGCTGCTATCTGTAAAGGGCGTATCATAGAATTGTAAATACGGTTCTTATCATAATAGAATAAATTTCGAGGAGTGTAAGCTTCGTCAAAAAAAAAAAAAATAAAAAAAAAAGGTAACGCTACAAACGAAATTTGTATGCGTGTAGCTCGGGCCACGATACAGCGAGGTCGTAAAATCAGTCAAGAGTCAAAGCAAACATGTTTCGAGTGTCGAGATAATCGAATTGACAGAAATACGAGCAGTTAAGGATCTGAAACCTCAGCCATGGCTGTACGAAGAAATGTTTGAAACCCTCTAGCAAGTTTATCTTTACAAAGAAGACACTCTAAATATGCCAAATAATAATTAACATTTGTCGATTCTCTACTTGTAAATGAAATACTGTTAATCACAACAGGTCGTCGTTCTTTTGTTCTACAGAAACCCAAAATGGAATATACGGTATTTTTTTTTTAATATCTTACTTGTACAGCGTCTAATTCTTCTCTGAGAGCTGTAATACCAAGCTTAGCTTCTTTTAATACTTGATTCGCTTGAATTCCAGCACCTTCAACAGCTTCCATTAAATTCACAGTAATATGACCGTGATGATGGTGAATACCACATTCACCACAGAGGGGCTTACTACAAGTTTGACAATAAAATTTTTGAGCATCACGATGCAAATCGCAAAAAAGAGGTAGTCCTGAAGATGTTAAATTTGGCGTGTTGATTATTGGAGGGCTTGGTATTTCTGTTGGTAGGCTTTGCATTGGAATGTTATCATCCTCATGGCCCAAATCTACAGGAAATGTATTTCCTTTTTTTAAATTAAGTTAGAATCAACATAGTAAGCAGAATAATTCCTACAAAAATCAGGAATAAATTTTAGAACTCGTAAAATAGAACCTCTTAATTTGTAAATGTTTAATTACATTTCCACTTAAAAAAAAAAAGGATTTATAACGATTAATAAGAAAAACAGAACTGTTTTTAATAGTTACCGTTTTAATTATTAATTGCAATGTCTATAAATCGAGCAATATTAGCAGATGAAACTATGCTCACCAAAAGTCGAGCCGAAGAGCACGAATCGCAAGTTATGTCAAAGCAATCCTTGCATCTGTTGTTAATAGAACTTCCAGTTTGCGAGAATTGAATATTGCAAGAGGCTGGTCCATTAAAATTATCACCATTCACCACTTGCAGCAGACTGTTAAGCAACGAGTCAACGCTAAGATCATCTGGGGATTGACCGTAACATTGTGAGTTCGTGCTGCTTCCTGAAGATGCGGTGCCCGGTGAACTTGCATTAGAATAACCGGATTTGATGAACTGCCACGGAAATTTATTTGTCATCTACAGTAGAATAAAAAAAAAAACGTAGAAATAATTCATTGTATTCAGGCTGAACGATAAGAAGAAACATTTTTTTATCTAATATTTCATTTTATTCTAATTGAATGTGACAAAAAATTTGGGAGTCTACTTTTTTATCCCTTTTTCAAAGTTTATTAGAAATTTATTACAATTTTGTAGATTCGAAAAATTTTAGGTTCGAAACTCGGAAATTAATTACATAAATTCACAATTTTATTATTTTATCGATTCGCTTCGAAGTAATTAACACGAAATATTCAACAAGTGATATATTTAACTGTTTCATCTCTATATACTCTTTCAGAATGAAAAAAAGAAAAACAATTCGCACCTTGCACAGTAAGTCTACACCTGTGTCTTGTTCCTTTTCTGGAGAATCTTGAATGTACTTTCCGAAAAAATTTGTTCCGCGATTATAATTTTTACCATGATTCATCGTGAGGTAGGCGTGTGAACAAGAACCTTAAAGAAATTCGGCGTTGCGATGTTGTATCGTTGTGATACCTTCACCTGAAATGAAAATAATTTAAATCAAGTACCGTTTGCAAATTAATACAGTTTAATCGACGCGTCCTTGTGTATTCTTCTTTTTAGAACTTGGAAAATCCATTTCAGACGCAGATCAAATAACTGAATCGTGATTCGCGATAGCAAAAGGATCTATACCTTATTTTTAAGTAAAAATATAAACTTTCATAAAAAAAAAACATAGATTTTTTTTTATGTTTAATGGGACCAAAAATCACGAGACATAAAAAAAAAAAGGATAAAGAAGATTCTCCTTTTATCTTTGATTGGACCAAAAGATCACAACGCAGAAAAATCATTTCATTTGAAATTTTATTCTGAAAAATGAACGAACTTTTCCTCGAACCTAATAAATTCTCCGTATTAATTATATTTTTTCGAAGATTCAAAAATAATTACAGTCAACGTGGTTTTTTTATCTTCGCATAAAAATGATTAATGTGTCACATTTTTCTAGAACTATCGTTCATTTTTAAACAGGAATATATCTATAAATTATTCTTCTATATTTAGAAATTATTTGTAACATTAAATTGAGAATCACGTTGGTTCGTACTTCTTTAAAAGTGTTACCACATTTATATAAAACATACCTAAATGAAAAATTTGTTAATCAATGACGTATTCGTTGCTCTGTTTTATCGATCGAAGCAATTATGTACCACATCGCTGTAACACTTTTTATATGTATAATTCATTGCTGAGAAAATTTGACGACGTCGATATACAGGGTGTCCTATCTGAAAAATCAACCGTCTAAACCAGAATACCCCCTTGAAATGCACAAGACGAACAAATGTATCACTTGACTTGACAAGTATCGTCACATTAAAATTTATACCGTCGTTTCTATTTCTACGATAAAGAAAAATTGTCTACTTTATTCCCCATGAAATTAAGCTACTCTGTCACATTTCCAAAGGTGACTGCACCCTGCGTTGCATTACATCGATCCTTACATTATTCGAAACCGTATTTGATGATGGTAAAAACGATATTAAAATATGAACTATTTAGATTTTTTATAATATTCAATGGAACCATATACAGCACTGGAAATTCTTATTACATCTCTCGAATATTGAACGTTTTATTATTTACACCTCTCTTATTACTAATATTGTAATTTTTCTCTGAGAATTTGGTGTCTACCGTTTGGAAAAAAATACGTTCATATTTTTTAATGGAAAAGTCTTCGATCGAGTGAATTATTTTCTTAGAAAAAGTTGAGCATCATTTTCAGGCCTTATATGTGTCAACCCTTTAATTGTGGCCTAATAAAAAATCTGTTATTGACGCGTTTAATTTGTCGCAATTTGGGGTTTGAAGAAATTTTTACAAAAATAATTAAAATTCATAGTGCAGTGGAGCACTATTCTAATTAATTCCATACACTTTCTCATACTTTTGTGTAAAACCATGGTCCGCCTATATCCTTCTAAAGTACTTTCTACGTAACTTTAAAAATAAACTTCAAAAATCATATAGTACATTAATTCCTCGATATATGATTTCTTTTCCTGACTATGCATCCAAACGTCAGCTATTTACTATTTTAGCACTACATCAAATCAGAAAATCTAATTTACTATAGATTAACTAAATTTGCTAATCTTCAATTTTATAAGTTACTTCGAAAATTAGAATTAAAATTAATACGACTGTTTTTATCATATGTGACACGAGTCCGACTGGTTGTTATCCAGCGCTGAAGTTAATTACGACGTACGAGTTAAAAAGTACATATCTGCAACATGTTACAATATCATAGTTACGAACTAAATCAGAACCATTCATAAGGGAGTCAACGGAAAAGCATTTTGAATCGTACGGATGGCCCCTTGTTCCAGTTTCAAAGACGAAACACCCCTGCACAGCTGGTTCAAGGTCATCATACGAGTCCTGAACAGGGAAGAACCGTGATACCCTTTTCAGTTCGGGGATCGAGAAATGGGGTCCCGCTTCCATTGGTGGGACCTCGCAGAAATCAATAACAGTGGGAAATTCGACGTAAGTACACGCATACCGGGTGCGTCTATATGTTTCTAAATGAATCTTTCGCTCGACTTCTCTAATCGTATCTTTTATGATCTGACAGCGTTCTCTGCCGGTATAGCAAATACCAGAACGCTAAATCGAACAGATCAATATTACGTTACGTTAATTATGGGTGGTTCAAACTGGTTTAAGTCAAAAATCGAAAAAAATCGAATTCGTCACTTGAATACTTTTTTTTGTGTTGCGTCGATATTTTTATAGAAAAGAGTTATATTATGAGAGCAAGTATTTCGTGAAATATTTTAGTTTACGTAACGGGAAGTATGGTTTTTTAATACAGCCAAAGGGAAAATTCTAAATATCTCGAAACGAAAAATATGCGACTTAAACTTTCATAATTATCGGAATAATTACTTTGGAACTACATCGAGCAAATACATTTTTAACTTTATCTGTAATTTGTGATGACCAGACTGTGGATTTTTGTGCAAATTTATGTTTATATGAATACGGTTGAAGAAATATTTATATAAATATAAATATTATTATTACACATTTTTACTTATTATATGCGTTCTGTGCATTTTTGTATCTTCAAATTTTCCATAAATAAACTTCTCCGAAATTTTTGTTAACGTTAAGTCCATAAAGTGACTACTTTTGTTTATGTATGAAATATTATTATGTATATTGGTTGGAGAAAATTGAAGGAACTTCGGACAATTTTTGAATTTAAACACTAAGAAGTAATAAAAATTTGAAATTGATCAAAAATATTTCAAAAGAATTGCTTCATTCTTTTACACGACATACATTCAGGATTAATGTAAGAAGAAGTTTTATTACTTTCTGCGAGAAATTTTATTATTTCTTGTAAATGCTTCATTAAATTGCTGTTTCGTAACTTCTCTAATGGCTACGTGCGACATAGTTCGCTATTTTGTTATTCGAGTATTGCGACGCTAAGAAAAAGCTCAAGTATGTACAATTATAAAAGGTTAAAGTATAATTTATTTTACCTCGAGTTTGGAAAATAAGATTTCGGTTGATACAAAAGTTAAATTGGAAAATAAGATTTCGGTTGATACAAAAGTTAAAGTTTAAAAGAAAAAAAGAAAAAAAAAGAACAGTTTATATAACAATTTTAAAAGTATTAATATTCGTTATAAATTATAATTATCACAAGTATTTTAAGTATAATACATACGGTACATTAAAATTATAACAAAATTTCAGATAAAAAAAAACAGATAAGTAGAGCTCAAACGAAATGTTAATAATTCTACTTTTTTGTTTTTTAATTTTGCAAGCACTTTACGCAGAGTATTAACATACAAAGTTAATGAATCATGTTCCCTTCGTAAATGTAAAACCTCGTATAACGAGTTCCAGTTGACAACTGTTTGAATGAAACTTCGCCGTCTGATCGATAAAACTTTGTTAATTAATCCTTCATTTATTATTGTGCGCTTTCTGTCATGTTATCCACCCATGGAACTCATTAATTGATACATTGCTATCGTATCCAAGCAAATATTAAAAACGTTGATAAATGTAAAATAATGCATATTTTATTTATTTCAATATACGTATTTTTGAAGTTTATTGCATGCAATATTATATTCCGGAGTGTATTTCAAATAATTTCAACGTGAATTTTTAAAGTAAATTTATTGTCAAATTTCATATAATGTTAAATGTTCTAAAAGATATTTTTTTAACATCTGATAATTTTTTATTCTTCCCAAAAATTAAATCTTTATAGTATTGAAAATGCTATATGACTATATAACTATTGAAAATGAATAAATATTTATTTAATTATTTGTAACAGCCAAAGTTTAATAAAGTAAAACCGATAACACGTGCGTAGATTATATTAAATTGTTTAATAAGTTTATCTATTTTTCTAAATTGAAATAAATCAAAATATTGGATTTCGAATGAATTAACCGAGATAAAAAAATCTTTTATTATATCCTTTATTAAAATAGTAAAAAAAGTGGATCTATTTATTTACAAAGGATGAGAAACGTTACCTTTAACAATGTTCTATAGAAACAATATTGGTCCGAACTAGGACAATAATCTTTAAGCACCAGTAAAACTGGTTTATAACCTAAAAAAGTATTCTTGCACATTTCATGGGATTGGCAAGGTACATCTTATTACAGTTGATATCGATAAATAGTGTTCCTGATTAAATTGCTTAAACGCAGCAATAAAAGATAAATGGACTTCACTGACAATAAGAAAGGAATTCTTTTCGATTTCCAGTTCCTTAACGATGCAATAAAAATTATTATAGCTTGCTTGGAATGTGTTGCTTTATTTATTGTACTCCCTGGAAATTACTCTATCTGATTTCCGTTTATACCGACATCAAAAAATTTTTATAACGGGAAATAATTTAAAAATATTAAGTAAAAATACGTAAGTCTGAAATTTTTAGTAACAAAAACAAAATGTTTTGTGTATCATTGTATAGTATGTATTATTGATTAAATATGTTTTCAA